ACCAGTGCCCTTTGTCTGTCTTCAGAAGATTTTTAAGGTAAAATGACTCTACTCCTTTGGTGAAATGTGTGCAAGAGACAGCTGTGCTGTGAGTGCAAAATCCACTCAGAACATTTTCAGAAGCCCTAAAGCAGTTTAATCAAAGAGTTTATCAACATCAGTGAAGTAATTCTGTCTGTTTAGATGGGCCTGTAGCTAGACAAAAATGAGCCTGTAGAATCTTGTCATTTGGAGGCTTTTAGCTCTCTTGTACTATATAACAGTGTTTGTAATCAGATGTAACATGACAGCAACAGCTTGACAGGCTGATAATACTCTACACTTGCAAAATTCAGGACTGCAGACACATTTTTATTTTAGCCATGTCATATTTATATCTAACAGGAGGATTTTGCTGCTAATCTGCCATAGAAAGACTGAAGAAATATTGAAGTTTTTATTGTTTTAGTGCACTGCTTAGATATTTTTTCATCTACCGAGAAAGTTTAACTTTCCCCAGTCATGCTAATTTACTTGGACAGTCATTCAGATCCACAAGACAAGCTGAATGAAGTTTTCTATTTATACTTCTGCTCCCTGAAGTATGTGTGTCCGATTTTCTAGCTGCTAATGTGTTTCATAACCTCATATTATTTACCATGTTGGTGGTGAGTGGAAGGAGATAAAGAGAAGGAGCCCAGCCTCAGGGAAGGACTGTTCATATGAAGATTTTATTCCAGTAGTTTTCATCCTGCTTTCATCATATTTTTTCATCATATAGCTTCATGCAACTTTTTGAGGTACCACATTGACTCTTGAAGTGATCCACAAATATGGTTGGAACAAGCAGGATACCCCCTATACTATCTGACTCAGAAGGAATAAGGCTGAGTCAATGGACCAGAGCCATCAGGAGCAGTCATCCTCCCACTCTCCAGCCAAGAGGGGTGGAGAAGGGACAAAGAGGAGGAACACCTTTTTGTCCTCTTTCCAACCTGCAAAGAAAAGAGTTGTAGGAGACGAGACACAAACAACTTTCAGGTTGGGCCATTTTTTACTACATTACATACTTTCAGCAGCTTTGAAGGAGGTTGCAGGGGTATAGCTGAGAAAATGTGACCCACTGATGCAATGTTACAAAGCAAACATAACAAAGAATGTCATGGCATTGTACCAGGAATGTTTTATGATACTCTGTGAATCTATTTGCTGCTGGTGTTGTTCTTTAGCCCTTTAATATTGAGTACCACACCTTGATTTTCTAGAAGCAAAATCCTGATCTTCTTATTCATGTTCACTCTATTCTAACTCAGGCAGACTCCTGCTTAAGATTGTCTGAGTAAAGACAAAGAAAAAATGATGGCCCCATGCTCCCCTCCTCATCTGCACATGGAAGAGAGTCTGTGCCCATGGGTGTGGGGTATTCCAATATTGTGGCTTCAATCCTGCAGGAAGTCCTATGTGGGGGTTCCATGGGATTCCAGTTCCATGGAGTTGGGGAAGATAGGCTACCAATGGGGAGCTGAGTTGGATTTCCCTAACTCTAAATACACTGGAGAAAGAGTAAATGAATATGATCGGAGGCCACATTAGCTTACTCTGCTTTCTGCTCCATATTAAGGACTCCCCTTACGGGGGATTCAGGGGCTAGCACAGTTAGAATAGTCCATGAGAGCTATCCTTCCAGGAGCAGGCAGTCACTATGTGGGGCAGAACAACATGTCGATGTCTTTTTTCCTCCTGCAGATACCTTGAGATCCACATGGATACCAGGGAATCCATGGATTTATCTCCCTTCACCCACAGATGAGCAAATCGTGAAGACTTTGCTTCCCCTGCAAGAGGAATTCAAGAAAACCTCTGGGGTTTCAAACTCTATGCAATTTCTTTTCCTATACCTGTTTTTTTCTCATGTATGTAATAATGAGGACTTCAGCAAAGTTTTCAGGACTTGGCTTATATAACTGTTAACTAGAATGTCCTATACACAATCTGTTAAAATAAATTAAGATCATTAATTTACACCACCTGAGGATCTGGCCCAAAGTCTCCATTGGATCTGCATTTTTTATTTGTTTTTTGTTTGTTTTTTGTTTTATTTTACCAGAACATGAGGTCTGTATTAAAACCGCCTGCATTTGTTTTGTTTTGTTTCCCATATTATTTATCTGGTTAGTCTATCCATATTCTATCACAGTAATTATTAAAAAAATTAACTGTGACACTGTCCTATTCTATTTTGGCTCTGTATCATACCCATCACCATATTAGCGAACCTAAATCACTTGTTCATCTAGTGCATTTTATTGCTTTGTTGGATGAACATTGTGTAGACTACACTATTTTAAAAAAATGTAAAATCATATTTCAGAACTATTCTGATATTGCTTGTGTCCCTTGAAAAACATTGTGCAGACACTTACAAACATTAGAATGTCATTCATTTCCGAATACACAGAAACTGAGATGAACAGCAGTTTCTCATGCAACATATAGTAAAAAGCAATAACTAAAAAAACAAAAGAAAGTAAAACATTCACTTTCATTATTGAACATTTTTATCTTTATTATTATAATAGAATTACAGTCTGACATAAAATAAAGAGCTTTTGCTAAACTCTGTAAAGCAAATACATGCTTCTGCCATAAACAACCTCTATTAGATTTAGGTTTTATTGCCACATTACTGCACTGAGGTGCAATAAACATTCAATGTCATCTTTTTTAAAATTATCCCAGGAGTAAACAGGAACTGTCCTCTATAAGAGTGTATCATTATTTTCAAGGAAGACTTACTATTATTACATGGTTTAGCAAAGCACTGTAAAAAAGCTACATAGAGAATACTTTATATTTGATAAACTGTGCAATCAAATTTATACAGTATAATACTATTCACATAGACTAACAAACTAAGAGGTGATATAATGCAATCATTGCATAGCAAAAAGCAGACTAATTAAGTAATATTCACATCTAATGTGCAAAATGCAGACCAAAAGGTAGCTATGAATAGCTAGGAAGATAAAATACCCTAAATGAACACACTAGATTAACGCCAAAAATAACAAGATAAACAAGTACACAGAAGTTAAAGAGCCATATTTTATTTTTTTCTATACATATATCTACACATGAACCAGAAGATGAAACATCCCCTTTAATAAACTCCAATCAGATTAGCTCATCAAGTTTAGACAGGACTAAATGTTAGACAATGAAGCATTGTTTAAAAAAATCTTCTTTTCTAAATAAAACATCGATTTTTTTTTTGTAGATTGTGAGTGGTAACCTCTTGATTTATTGAGAAAGAGTTTATAAAACATTGCCTGAAACATAACTATGAAACTTGACCGTCTCATTAACTAATTTGCTGACTGTTCATGTGGCATTGTTTTTAAATTCACTCAATACCATATTTTGTGGATTCTGAATTAACGCTTGCAAAAATCCATCAATCTCTTTGAAAAATCCTTACCTGAAATTTATATTTCTAAGAAGTTCTCAGCAGTAATGAAACTAACTAGAATTGTTTTAAAGGGAATATCATCCCTGCAAAATGGACATCTTGTATTTAAAGCCCTTACATATTGTTCCTACAAATATATTGCTACAGTAAAAATGAAATGTAGTAAGTTTACTCAATAAAATCTATTTTCCTGTACATTCTTTTGTGTATGATTTTGTATTGAATGCTACATATATTACATCACTTATTGTAACAGTTATGTATCAGCAAATATAGCAGTAATATACAGATGATTTTTCTGTCTTAACAAGTATTTTACCAGTTTTACCTACTAAATATATTCCATTTTTTAGTATTTATGCATGACCTGAGCAGACCAGTCATTTATCTAATAGTATACATTGGATGGCATTGTCAAATTGCAAACTACTGTACACTTAACCACTTTACAAATGAAATTAACTCCAAGCTCTTTCTTTCCTTTTGTAGTCTTTTCAGTACCACTGACTTCTATAATGCAGGCTCTAAATATGTTTCCTTTAGCATTTAACAACATATTAAGAGCTAAGATAGATGAACCCTACACAATATTTTAAGAACACAACTTTAAAAAAGTAAAAAAAGTACAATCTCATGCTGCATATTTACACATATTATTTAAATACTATATTTTGTCTTTCTGCTATCCATAAATTTTAATCTAAAGCTTTTTAATGTACTGTTTTATAAAAGAATACATTCAACATATCTAGAGCTTGCAAAACTTTTTTTTTCTTTCTGAAACATATTGATAAATAAAAGCTACCTGTAAAAGCATCCAGGTACTGGTTTGATTACACATGGGGTAAAGGGCATTTGAATTCTGCACTTAATTGTGCAACTGATTTCATGTCTAGTTTAGTGACAAATTAATGCTTAGAACAAGACTGCCTCAAGACAGCAGATTAAAGCATTCATTACCCTTGAATCATATGTGCTGTACAGTGATAAACTGTTCCTAGAGTATTCAGACTTCCATTTCTTTAAAGAACATTTAATATTACAAGACCAGGGATGGGGGGCGGGGAGAAGAGCTGGAAACATAGTGTATCTCATGGAATTTGACAAAATTGAAAGCGTTACAGCCTTGGGAAAAAAAAACATAAACAGTGCTCTGTAAATGATAAGTACACTACAGTATGTGCTACATGAACATCATAGAGTATTTTCCCCCACAATTATTTTGCATAAAAATATTTCACATACATGTACAGTATCTTTGTTGGGACATTCAGTAATAAGCTATCTACAAATGGTTTTGAATTCATTTTCATTACTGAACTTTTCCTCTCCCTTCTTCAGAATCATGGTTCCCAGGTGTACACATCACATTGTTATGGCCCTAGTATACAGGGTTACTTTTTTTAAATATATATATATACTTTTTTTTAAAATAAGGAAACCTTCATTTTCTTTAAGACAGAGGCAATGAAGCAAATGGGAATTACTGTGTGTCAAACTGAAAGCAATCCCCAGTGCAAAAGACTGAACAAAACTACATGAGTTAACAGGGTTATTGATGTGGAGTTGGGGCTTTCAGCTGGGGCTCTCTGTTTAAATAAGTTGCCCAGTAGACTAAATTAAAGATTCCAAAAAGCAGTGGGAAAGCTATTCTTGATAGTCGATCAATTTTGCTGACACTGTTAAAAGTTTTCTTGGGTTCTGGTGGTTTTGTTTCTGGTTTAACTTCTTTGGGCTCTATTGTTGCACTTTTAGCAATGGTAGCCAGCCCAGGGTCTCTGGCAATATTAGGGGTGTAGCTTGTTGCTGCTGCTGTATATGTGTTATTTTTCTTAATGAGAGGATCCTTCAGTTTCTTTGGCTGGGGAAAGAAAAACATGAATTTTATTCCTCTCCACATTTTCAATACTTAATATTGTGATAATGTACCATAATACAGTGTTATTGCTACATATTGAAATTATACTTCAAACTGGACTAACTAGATGTTAGGTGTGTATGTGTGATTTACGTAAAACATTGTACTCAAGAACAAGATACAATCTCTCGATTTAATTACTTTGCCTAGAAATAAATCAACCAATTAATTCCCAAAAGCATTTAGAATAACAGATACATTTTAGGATATGCTATTTTTGATAGTAAGCAAAGCAGTGTATTGTAATATCTGCAATATTAATCAAACAATAGCAAACTAAACATAGTTCATTATCTTCTGAATCAAATGAGCTTTGTGACTAGAACAAATATATTGAGTTTGAGAGATACCAAGGATGCCACCATTATAAAACTATTTCCAAATTTGTCATTCAGATACCATGATAAATAATGTATTATGAGGTCTAACACAACTTATCATACATATCATTTTCATGAGAGAGAGAGCTCAGTGGTTTGAGCACTGGCCTGCTAAACCCAGGGTTGTGAGTTCAATCCTTGAGGGGGCCATTTAGGGATTGGGAGCAAAAATAAAAAAAAATCTGTTAGGCACAGTACTTGGTTCTGCTAGTAAAGGCAGGGGACTGGACTCAATGACCTTTCAAGGTCCTTTCCAGCTCTATGAGATAGGTGTATATATCTCCATATTAGAATGCCTATTTAAAAGGAACACAACAAACAGCTTATTGATCCCTATTCAGCAAAATACTTGGAACTTAAGCATGTGTTTAAGGGCTTGGACATATTGGAGACTTAATGATGCCTTTTGCAGGTTACCACTGGACTAGCTGAGTTGCAGTGGTTGGAGTTTCATTCAGAATGTGTGGGAGCTATACAATTGTATATCCCCAGTCTTTTTAAAAATATCTATATATCGCATTGAAATTTATGGAACATCCTAGAAAGCTGATATTTTAAAAAGTGCTAATAGCTCAATAGAAAGTGACTGAGTTATATTAAGCATACTGGATGTGATCCTGATCCTTGATCAGGCATTGTGCCACTCTGATCATTTAAATTTGTCTTAAAGCCTTTTAACTGGCTTGAAATCATCTGGCATATGGTAATCTCAGCTGGCAAAAAGCTGTAGGCAGTCCTACTCCCTACCATAGCTTCTATATAGGAACAAGTTTCAGAGGAGCAGCCATGTTAGTCTGTATCTGCAAAAAGAACAGGAGTACTTGTGGCACCTTAGAGACAGACCTGTCCTCGCTTACAGACAACCCCCCAACCTGAAGCAAATACTCACCAGCAACCACACACCACTGAACAAAAACACTGACCCAGGAACCTATCCTTGCAACAAAGCCCAATGCCGACTCTGTCCACATATCTATTCAAGTGACATCATCATAGCCTAATCACATCAGCCACACCATCAGGGGCTCATTCACCTGCAATGTGATATATGCCATCATGTGCCAGCAATGCCCCTCTGCCATGTACATTGGCCAAACCGGACAGTCTCTACGCAAAAGAATTAATGGACACAAATCTTACATCAGGAATCATAACATGAGAACACTTTAACCTGTTTGGTCATTCAATGACAGACCTGCGGGTGGCAATTTTGCAACAGAAAAGCTTCAAAAACAAGACTCCAAGGAGAAACTGCTGAGCTGGAATTGATATGCAAATTAGATACAATCAACTTAGGTTTGAATAGAGACTGGGAATGGCTGAGCCATTACAAACATTGAATCTATCTCCCCATGTAAGTACTCTCACACTTCTTATCAAACTGTCTGTACTGGGCTATCTTGATTATCACTTCAAAAGTTTTTTTTTTCTCTTACTTAATTGGCCTCTCAGAGTTGGTAAGACAACTCCCACCTTTCATGCTCTCTGTATGTGTATATATATCTCCTCAATATATGTTCCATTCTATGCATCCGAAGAAGTGGGCTGTAGCCCACGAAAACTTAATGCTCAAATAAATTTGTTAGTCTCTAAGGGCCACAAGTACTCCTATATAGGAAAAAGTCAGAGCATAGGTTGAGTGGAAGGGAAAGGAAGCATGAAAGAAGTACTATTGTACTGTGTTTCAGCTATCCCTGACTATATGGAAACAACTCCTATGGCTCAGAAGGGCTCTAAACTGTGTCTGAAACTGATAATGGGGCAGATGCCAAAAATCTGATCCTGTGTTCCTGGAACAGTAAAAAGGAAGTATAGATAAAAAAGAACCTTTAACACATTGTTTTAATTCTATAAGCTAATATAATTCAGTATATATTTATTTTTATTTATATTTTATTTATTTTTTCCCCAAAAAATAAGGGGAGAACAGAAAAAGAAAAAACAAAAATGTATGCAAACAGAGGGAAAGGAAAGGGGGGGGGGTAAGGAGGAGAAAGGAGAGTCATTTCTCATTTTCCCTCCATGAGAAACTAATAAAAGATTTCTAAGAAATTAGACCAAATCTTTTTAAATTTGTTTAAGGTCCCTCTTCTCCAAAATCGTAAGGCAACACATATCCTTGAGATTGAGGAAGAGCCTTCAAATTCCCTTCAGCATAGATGTCCCAGATTATTTCCACCTAATAGATGGAATAAATAGCTGAAAAACAGTTAATTCAAAAAGAAAGAAAAGTCAAAATCAGGGAGTCCTTTGGTCATTCATCCATCAGCAGCTTCAGCTCTCATATTACAAAGTTTTCTTTTTTTCACTTTTTCACACTTGCTCAGGACAGAAACAGCCCTAGTATTCTAGAAAGCAGTAATAAATCCAGCTAAACGAATAACTCTTTCACAGAAACCTAATAGAACAGCCATTTTGTAGTTTTACATTTTATGAAGAATCTGAGCTAGGCAAAGCCTAACTCCAGTAAGTATCTCGATATTTTATGTCACATTGAAGTTTAGGAAAAGGTAATATCACATCTAATCAGAGCCCAGAGTGATATTAGATTATGAACTTCTGTCCATCACGAGTTTGCCTTACTTGACTTTGCCTTTTCCTTAGTATTCGTGACAGCTAATTCAGTACACGGTGTACAGAGAATATCTTTGGTATGTTAATATGAAAGAATATAGGGGGATTCTTAACTTCTAGGGAACACAAGACCATACAGTCTTTAATATTTTTAAACAATTCTTGAATATTGTGTTTTATGGGATTTTTAATGTTTAATTTAGTCCCACATCAAATGGAATATATGATTTAGGGTTATCATTTCATAAATCTTGATTACTTAGGACACCAGTATCATTGGCATATGAAAAAGTCTATTTGCTACACTGAACAGACAAGATTTCAGAATTTCAGTGCAACTGGATCTCCACTAAAATGTATTTTTATATTACCCTTAAAAGGAACTATAATGAACTTGCGAGTATAATTAATAAGGCGAGCTGAGCAAATATGTTGCAAAGAAAAATGTAGTCATTATTTGACTTAATTTAGAAATATTCTTCAGCAAATAATTATGCAAATCATTTGCATACAGTTTTTTGTAAATATTTACTTGTTATGTTAGTTATTAGTTACAAAAGTAACATGGTTTTATTTCTATTCTCTGATTGTATGACTTACACAACTAACCAAAATAGCATGATTTATTAATATTGCCTTCAACTACACATTTTGATTTTTTTTTTTTTTTGCATATTCAAGAACTGAAGCTTAATATTGTTTTTTCCCAAATATTCACTCTACTGAAGTTTCAGTACTAAACAAACAGCAAATATGACCACAACCACTCAAATAAAAATTCTTTTAAAAATGTGAATGGATGTTCATGGATTCCCGCCCTCCTCCTCTCCCTCCCCCAATATTCATTCAGCTCTACTAATAATGCTGGAAAGATTTCGGTTTTGCAACACTATCTTCAGTTCTCATATGTGAACATTTTACATAATTCATTCTAAATCCTTTAGTTAATGTTTAAATTTCATATAAAATAGCTATATTTCTTCCAATGCTCATTGTCTCATATTAAGGCTTGAAGTAAGTGTCTCTTCAGTGCAGAGGAGAGGACTTAAATCAAGGGAATTTTGTAGTAAGAGCCATTTAAAAGCAGATTTCTTAAATAACACATGTAATGACATGTTACATATTTTCCAGCAGATGCCTTGGTGGTAAGCACTGGAAATGTATCAGAAATATGTTTGAATAAACAAAAGGGATAATAGTCAATGTGTACGAAAGCTATTAGATTAAAATAGGATCAGTGATATGTACAAGATGAAATCAGGAAATTTCTATTTTGCCTATGTAAATTAGAGAGATTTTATTGTTCTCTCAAAAAAACTTCAATATTTGATAACAAATTTATGGAAGCTACTGTATGGAATGTAAGAATTGCCATATCGAATCAGAAAAGTGGTCCACTATCCTATCTCTGAGAGGGAGCTGCAAAAAAACCAAAACCCATAGTGGACAATTATGGATTAAACTGTCTATAGGGGAAGCTTCTTCAAAAACCTCTCCATTAGTGTGTGGCTTCCACTCTGAAGTATAAGGGTTTATATATGTCTTTAAAATACTAACTAATATAATTCTGAATGTTCACATTGGGCCCCATCCCAAGCCCATCTAAATTAGTGGGAGCCTTTCCATTGATTTCAATAGCCTTTGGATCAGGCCCAACATACACGTATATGCTTAATACTTGTTTTGAATTCAGTATCACTTTGTGTCAATGAATTACCCAGGTTAATTACTCATGATGTTAAAAAAAGTATTAGTATTTCCTAATATCACTAGTAAATCTGTTGTCTTACAACTTCATTGAATATTCCATTGTATTATGAGAAAATATCATGTGTAGAATAGGCAAGAACCAGGCATGAAATATATTGGCAACCGTCAATCCAAACTGGATCATGGTGTACGTGTAAGAGGTCTAATCAGGTGCCTGATGAATCCACTTATGGCTGACAAGTCCAATTCAAGAGTGACACAGCTTGTTACATATTTTACAGATTCATACGTTGTCTGAGTTAGAATCCATGATTACAGTATGCTACTTTCTTCTTTCTCACTTTGCTTCCATCCTCTGGATCAAAGCCACTTCATGTTGAGCTGCACCTACTCAGATACTCCCTCTAAATTGGAAGGGATCCTGCACTCCTCCCAGCTTTCCACATTGATATTGAATGACTTCATATCAGTTTACACACATTGTGGTACTGCCATAAAGGGCAACCCTGCTTTCTAGAGCTGTCCTAAATCTCACTGTTGAAAATATTCTTGGAGATACGGTCTCCTACCATTCACCTGCCATGAATGAGCCATTGCAACCACCTCTTCTTGGCAGTGGTTTCTAAGTGTGTCAATCCTGTGCATTCCAGCATCTCTGTGTTTGGTAATGTGCTTCCCCACTTTATTTTCAGGATCTTATGCAGGCATCTCATGTGGAAGCTATTCAGTCTCCTGATATGCCTGGCATATGTAGTCCAGGTTTCTGAACCACAAAGCAGGGATGACAGCACACAAGTTTCATAGATTTGCATCTTTGATCTTAGTTGATAGTTTGGTGTTATTCCATGCACATTTCTGTAAGCCTGAAATACTTAGCTGCTTTTCCAGTTCTATTAATTCACTCTGAAGGTCAAAATTTCTGACGATTTTAGAACCCAAGTAGCAAAAGCTGTTGACAACACCAAGAGATTTACCCTCCAGAGTGGGTAAATCTTTGGTACATGATCACAGTCTTGAAACTAATTGTCAACCTGAAGCTCCTGCATGATGCATGAAATTTACCCAAGAGATTTTGCAAAGAAGATTCACTATGGGCAACCAAGACCGCATCATCCGCAAACAGGAAATCTCTCAGAATCTTGGTTTTCACTCTAAATCTTGCAATGTTGATAAATGCCATCATTGCTGTCCTTAAATGCATGAAGAAGCCGTAATGAAAAGTAGATGTTAAAGAACATAGGAGGCAAAATACACCCCTATTTCATGCCGTTGTTAATGTCAAAACCATTTTATTCTTTGTTTTCATACACCACAATTGCCCTCAGACCTTGATGTAAGGAATGAACATTCAAAAATATGGGGGAACAATCCACTTTCTTCAGAACCATAAAAAGGTCCTGTCTGTTGAACATATCCAAGGCCTTCATCAGATCGATGAAGGCTATGTAGAGTGGCATTCATTTTTCTCTACACTTCTCTTGCAGTTGCTTAACCAAAAATATCATATAAATGGTGGAGTGTTCTGAGTGAAAACCACATCGACTTTTAGGATAGATTCTTTCACCTAGAGATTGCAGCCTAGGGAGCACAATGCAAGTGACAACTTTTCTGACGATGTTCAACAGGAAGATACTTCTATAGTTGTCACTGTCGCTTCTATCGCCCTTGGTTTTGTATAATTGTACATTGCATGAAATGGGTTATTTACTAAACATGGTCCATGCATACCTTGCATCATCTACACATATTTTTTTTTTCACTTTTGTTAATATGGGGTGCTTGGAGTGAAGAATCCTGAAGAAATAATAATGAAAAGGTTTCACTTTGTTCTCGTTGCTATTTATTGGATCATAAAGCCCCACGAATGGATTCTGATTTCCACAGAAAAGGACGGGATATATTTGCTAATAGGTAACTTCCATTCTTGTGGAGTCTAGTCTGAGATTCCTTTTGTAGTTCAGCTATTGCTGATGGCAGACAATCTGACCTTTAAGTCTGAGATGCACCCCCTGCAAAACCTTGCCTGCTGGGTCCCACAATGCTCAGTCTTCTCCATCATGTTATTGAACTTACATATTAAGCAACCAGAGTATTCAAGTGCCTGCAGAAAATACCCACTCTGTGTATCTTTTATAGCAAACTTATACATACCATGCCATATCCTCAGCTGGTATAACTCAGATGCCCTCAAAATTGGGGATGTAATAGAGGAGACAAATGCTTCAAAGAACTTTTCTCCTCTATTACATCCCCATTACTGAGGGCATCTGCCTCCAGTTCAAGTCCATCTGCAACCTTGGGTTGCTGTTAGACTCCCCACAGCTACTGGGAGCCCAAAGAGCCATGACAACAACAAATGTCTGCTTCCAGCCATAACTGGCAGAGATTGCACCCCATACTTTCAGAAAGAGATGAGGTGCATGGTGATCCACAGAATCATGACTTCTAGGCTTGCTCAGTGCAACTTATATTAAGAAATGAAGAAACACCCTGAATGAGCTCCAACTGATACAAAACCCAGTAGTCTGTCTACTTAGCAACCACAGTACCCCACTCTTTGCATTGGCTCCCCATTGAATATAGTGTATAGTTAAAGGTCTCCATGGTATTAGACCTAGATCCTTCAGACATCACCTCCCTTATCCTTCAAAAACATGCTCTGCCATGAAAGCTACATTCTAATGAAGCAATTGAATAATCATTAAATAAGGGAAGCCTTTTCCGTGTGTCAGACAGAGCTTTCAAAGGGGCTGGACTTTGATGAGGGAAAACTAAGTTAAAAAAAGTGTTTTGCATTAGTTTCTGAAGTCCATGGTCATTCTTATTCCTTGTGGAGTAAGTTTCATAATCTATTTCCTCCTACACACAAACTTGCAAATTGGTCCTGATCCATAGCCTTTGGAAATCAAGGAAAAGATATCCACTGCCTTCAGTGAGCTTTGCATCAGGCTCACAGACACTGCACACATCCACTGAGTCTCTCACTCAAACACACAACATATAAACTAGTCAATCTATTCCTACTACCGGCTGTGAAGGAAAGGAAAAATAAAGAGAGACTGTTAAATAACTGGGTGGTGCTACAGTGATGGGAGCCATATAAAGACATGAAGGGAAGGGGGTGGAGAGTGTTGCGGTATGAGCTTTCCCTTCGTGCCACAGCTTTAGCCTCAGCCAACTTGTATCTTTCAGATTTAAGACATGGGACAGGGATCATGTCTTCCTCTCTTTTCCACACAATGCTGAACATCCTGGTGGTGCTCTAAAAATGAAAATGTAACCACTCTCCATACTAATCATTTGCATACAACAAGGGATTTCAACACATAGTGTGACCAGCAGATCCTGAACAGAAAATGCCCAATAGCCATGTAAAGAGGCTCTTTCAGTAGATTATCTAAGTCCCATTGGAAAACACACAGACTGAATCCAGCAAAAATGCCATGAATAGATATGAATGTATGTATCATAAAATCTATTAGTAAAGGTGTTACCTTTTCAGGAACAACACTTTTGCCATCCCATGCATAACCTCTCTTTGTGAAGTAGTTCACTGTTGCAAATTCGATGAGTGCTGAAAACACAAATGCATAGCACACCGCTATAAACCAATCCATAGCTGTTGCATAGGCCACCTTTGGAAGGGAATTTCTTGCACTGATGCTCAAGGTGGTCATTGTGAGAACAGTTGTCACTCCTGTAAAGCAAAAATGTCAGCGTCACGTTAGATCAGTTACTGTATTTTGTCTTTTACTTATCAATGTGGATTCACAAATAAAATAGGAAAAATAGTTTCACAGGCTTCTGTTATTAGAAATATATTTCCCAACCAAAGAGTATCAAATTTCAGGTTCTGCTGTGGAAATAATAATCTTTGAGGTACCCTTCTGGATTGTGCTTTATCTTGATCTTTTGACATATGGAAGTCACCGCCCTGCACTTTAAGTCGCAGGGGGAGGGTAGAGGGGGTTGTCTGGCTGGCTGGGAGAAGAGGGCAATGCTTTATGGCTTGGGGGAGGAGGGGAGACGTAAAACTGCTGGAAAAGCAGTCAGAGTGGTGGATCACTCACCACCTAGGAATGAGGGGTTTAAAAAGGTCAGCCACCGTGAGCCCCTCCCCCCCCCGGAATTAGCTGGAATTGGAGTGTCCCAGCAGTGGATCTGCTGGAGGGACATGAATGGAAAGGTGGGGCGGGGGGCCTGAAAAAAGCACACACACACACACACATCGGTGAATTGTGGGGGTTTTCTCCTGCACTGCACATTTTATCCACCGGGTTAGTCCCAGACATCTAATAATAAAGTTGAGGCCTGATTAAACCCATATCTAATGTCTCCTGTCATTCTTTCGGCATAGCCAGACAATGAGGTTTGTGCTTTTGGAGATATTGCTGCTCCAAAAGAAACAGCCCTGAGTGGATGACTAAGGAGTATTGTTGGCATTGACCATAATCAAGTAGTTGTCAGTTCAGTGTTGGACCCCTTAGAAATTAAGCAGATAACAGTGGAAAGGAAAATAATGTGAGTTTAGTGAAAGAGGAATAAATGTGTTTATCAGGGTTACTGATATCACATTCCTTTTGCTGAACCATCTGTAATATTAAATATCTAACAAACTACATGATATATTTGTTTCTTCTAGGCAGGAGTTTGGACACTATATCTCAGAATATATACACTATATACAAGAAGTCATTGGTCCATGTAGTCGTGCATCCTGCCTGTGATGGTACCCAGTGCAGCAATGCCTCAGACGAAGACAAAATGAAACATAATCTGTTTAACTTTGAGGGTCAGGAAGGAATTTAGCTGGGTGCATTATGTCCCACAGCATGAGATTAGATTTACTATTTTCTTAGATTGTAAATAAATTAAGTGATTGAATAAAATCTCAGAATTATTATTTTTAAAGCAGACTTAATGACCATCCCTCCAACATGAATGAAACAGGAAGAAGAAAGTCACCACAGCCCTATTGTTGTCTGGACTTATAGACCAACATAATTTCCTCTTCCAGCAAAAGAATTAGAGGAGGAGTTAATTTCTGACCCAGTTCCTGTTCTCACTTAGCATTTTAGTAATCATGTGGATGGTTGCAAGTCTTTTTCCATCTTGTCAATTCTTTCATTTCGTGTCATAATTGCAGATAAAACAACTCCAAATTATGCAAAGTTCAGCGAGGCATACGCAGGCATGTTGGATACTTTCCACCTTATTTGTATAAGATTGCTACAGTGCTATAAGATGTTTCCCATAAAAACAAAGGATGTTAATTGTTCTTATTGCTGATTAACCTGTTCGGGGCTGAATGAAGTAGCAAACATATTTGGAAAATATGCTCCTTCAGTGTAGCCCAAAATAGACTAAGCTGCATGTTATGATATTGCATTTATTTGAACTGATGTTTTGTACAGGTTTCTCTGCCATTACACAGTGATGCTCTGGCAACAGTAAAGAGGTTAAGTAAGACCCACGGCAATGTAATTTGCATTTCTAGTAGCAGAGCTTCATACCTGCTGGAAGAACATTTGTTTCTTTAACTAGCCATGGAGTTTTTACTGACAGTAGGAGGATTACATTGCTATCACATTGCCTACAGATTTTTGCAAGTGCAAGCTAGACATTTACATCAAATCACATGTTCGCAAGTTACCTTGACAACTGCAGACAATTTCATGTATTAAATCACTGTTACAGTTTATAACCACTGTACTGAGCACTAATGAAAATATGCAGAGATCTAAGAGGGCCAGATAATTAAAAATATATTTAGATATCAATGACAATATCTTGAATTATGGGTACTTAATGATGATGTGGTTTTTGTTCCTTAGGGGAATGTATAAGGTCTTTTTCCACTTATAACTAATGATTTTTTTGTTGCTCTTGTACAGTAAATCCTGCTATGCTATAATTTGTGTTTTTATTTATAGTGCTGAAAGAGGGCTATAAATCTATATATGCTGTGCTTTTCTATGTGGATGCATGTATGAATATGCCCAGGTGAAGTATTCAGAGACATCTTTTTTCTTCAGTGAAGTTAGGAGATTAAAAAAATAGCAACCGAATTCTAGACTTTGTTCAAACATATGTAAAAAAAACCACAAGTAGTCAACAAAATAATTGTATTCTGAACAGAAAACTTTTAAAATGTTTACATTCTTGAAGGGGTGTCGTAAGGCTTTAAAAACAGCTGCCTGAATAATATAGAGTATTGTATGTTATTTTTTTGATACATGGGGTAATTTGGTACCCCATTTATGGCCAACCATAACTACAGCGTCATGAACCAGCAACTTGCTATTGCCAACAGTAAAAAAAAAGAAAGCGAAATGGAAGAAAATGAGGTTTCATTTCTTTTTTTAAATACATACATAACAATCTTTGAATGTATGCCTTTTTAAGGGGCCCAATCTACTCTGTGACAAAATTGCCAAGATTAGACTTTTGATACCAATTTCAGAAGTGAGTTTAAAGGATTTGAATCTGTTGCATTTCATAGCAGTTTGTGGGTCCCCTTTTATATAAATTAGACTCAATTACACTCTCCAATACTCCTATACTTTGTTTAGGGACTTCTCTACATTCATATCTACTTACCAACATGGAGCTTACACCCCATGTGAGCATTTAGCTCTCTGAATCTAAGGATGTCTAAGCTGGTGTGATTCACCTGAAGAGGCATTGGGAAAGTGGGCTGGAGCAGAAAAGCAACTTACAGGGGGATATTTTGAGAGGTAGGTGAAAATAGGTATAAGCCAGCAGGAATTGCAGGTGCTTCTCAGGACCAGGCCCTTGGACTGACCTCTGAATTTGGTTATAGATCTCCAGCTTTCCTTTGCCAACATTAAAAGGCAGAGTTCCTCCTGCGACTAACCTCCACATGTCCTTTGGAGCCCCTTCTTTGTCATGCTCTTGCACTGCGCTGAGGGGGAGCTGTTGGGGCAGAGACAAGGTCTGCTGCATTTATGCCCTTCCACTCCTGCCAGAGGCATTCTCAACTAGCCAATTATAGCTTGAGCAGCACAAAAGGAGCTGGAGCATATTGGAGAACTCTCACCTCCCTTTTTCTTTAATCAAATGCTTGTTGTTAGATCTATCTATCTATTTGTTTGCAATATTGGAGAAGACCTGAAGAAGAACTCTGTGGAGCTCAAATGCTTGTTTCTTGCATGAACAGAAGTTGGTCCAATAAAAGATATTACCTCACCCATCTTGTCTTTCTGTCTGTCTGTCTATCTTGATTTTGGATGTGAAATAGGTTAAACAAAAGCCCCAGAGAATATTCTAGCTGTTTCTTTCTAATTAAAAAAAATGTGTACTAGAATGTAATAGCAAAAACCCCAGGGAGTCAAAAGCAGGTGTGAACTATATCATCTTAGTCCCTTGCATTCATCCCTGCCTGAATCCTACTCAGAGAGAAGACAATAGGAATTTTGTCACTGATTTCCATAGCAGCATTGGGCCACAACAGTATTTGACGAGCTTGCAGATGAGATCAACCCACAGAGTTATTAAAGCTGGGAGTTTCCACTGGGGCAAGAACATCTGGTGAACAACTCCCTTTGACTAAATTCCCTTTGAAAATCCAAGGCAAAAGCTGTATTACCCATTTTGCTTTATGAGAAACAGTCAATGCACACTTTCTCCTAGTGTGACAGCTAACATCTAAACTTTGTCTGCACATTACATAATTCATAGATGATACGGCTAGAAGGGACCATTATGATAATCTAGTATGAGCTTCTGTATAACACAGGCCATAGAACTTCCCCCAAAATAATTCCTAAAGCACTTCTGCTAGAAAAACAGTTTAAAAATTGTCAGTGATGGAGAATCCACCATAGCCCTTGGTAAATTGTTTCAATAGTTAATTACCCTACATGTTAAATATTTGTACCTTATTTCCAGTCTGAATTTGTCTAGCTTCAACTTCCAGCCATTGGATTGTTTTATACTTTTTCTCTGATACACTGAAGAGCCCTTTATTAAAAATATGTTCCTCATGTAGCTACTTATACTGATAGACTCAAGAAGCTCAAGCTATATAACTTAACAAACAGAAGGTGAAGGGGTGACTTGATTACATCTATAAGGCATGTTTTCTAATCCCTTTATCATTTTCATGGCTCTTCTTTGAATTTTCTCCAATTTATCAACATCCTTCTTGAATTGTGAGCACCAGAACTGAACACAGTATTAAAGCAGTGGTTGCACCACTGTTAAATACTGAAGTAAAATAACCTCTCTACTCCTACTCAAGATTCCCCTGTTTATGCATTCCAGGATCACATTAGCTCTTTAGGCCACAACATCACACCCATTTTCAGCTGATTATCCACCATGACCTCCAAATCTTGTTCAGAATTACAGCTTCCCAGGATAGAGTCCACCATCTTTTAAGTATGGCCTACAGTCTTTGTTCCTAGATGTATACATTTACATTTAGTAATATTAAGATGCATATAAGCTAAACCCTTTGAATATTCCTTTTCGTTTTTTATATAAATCAAGATAGGCCAAGATGTTCAGCTCTGACTCCAGATTAGCATAATGTCATTATTTTTCATTTTTGTTTTTGATATATAGCATTTTACTATTCATCCTTTTTAATAAATTAAATAGTTTGGACCTTTTAAAAAATCATCTGTTGCAATATCTTCAAAGCAAAGCATATTTCTTATCCAGTTCTCCAATGTCACTTGGGTGCTTTTCTATAAGTAGCATATGACCCTGGCGAGTTTTTTTTGTTTTTGTTTTGGTTTGATTTTTTATGTTTCACTTACCAAATACAGTTCTTGCTGGAACAGATTCTCTGTTAAGCCAGAAGGACACCTGGGACAGAATCACTGTCATGATGCATGGTAGATATGTCTGAATGACAAAGTAACCAATCTTTCTCTTCAAATGGAAGTGGGTAGTCATAACAACGTACTCCCCTAGAAACCAATAAAAATAAAAGACAGTGAGACCCTTTCCCATATGCACAGATTAGAATCTGTGTCCCAAGTTTTTGCATGAGTAACAATTTCTTCATCATTTCTGTCCACTGTTATTAAAAATTTTGTTTGAGACAAGTTTGGTTTAGGTCTGAAGAAATTTTTTAATAACAAATTGATGGTGCAGGGGCCTTTCATCTCAAATTCAGCCCAGCTGGGTAGTGAATAAAACTTAATTTTAACTGATTCAGTGTCCTTTGTGAAATGGGGACCTTAGTCATCATAAATCAGAAAACTATCATAACCAATACCCTTGAACACAATGTCCAAAGGTTAAATGAACCCTGGTGACTGATGGTTAGATGTGGTTCATCCAGATCAGGCTTAGGACACAAGGATTAGTCCAGTTTATTTATGTTTGCATTGTCATTACCTGTGCTATATCTGTTCTGAAGATAAAAGGCTAACATTCTAATTCTATTAATTCAGTACCTTTCACTAGTAATACTCTCCCTTAAAGTAAATGGCTGATGGATGAATTAGGACAGAATTCTGTCCATAACTAACTTTTTGGGATGTTGCAGAAACATAGAGAAACAGCATTCCTGTGGAATTTGTCACCATACAGTGGGTTTTATAAATCTCAGTTGCCAGAATACAGCAAAAAATACCTCAATTTCACTCTGTTATTTACAGACATTATTGAAAATGCAATATTTTGAAAAGCAATATTCCCCAAAGATTTGAAAACCTATTGATGTGACTTTATGTTCAGTATAGACTGACTCACAATAAATAGATATTAGTTTAGAAAAGATACATGTGGCTTTGAAACTGAATGAAACCCTCTGCCTAAATAAGAGATGACGCATGAAATTACTGTGATTCTCTTTTAAAATATAAACAACTGGCAATAGCACTGGCAAAGGAAAATCCTAAATTGGATTGAAAAACTGTGTCTAGACATTGACTGCTTATGCACCAAGCATGTCAAATGCCCTTTTTGTCTAATTCAGATTCTAGAAGAACATTCATGCGAACATTCTTGCCCAACATATAACCCTGAGGGAAGCTTATAAATAAGATGTGACAATACTCCTAAGATGTTTGAATATACATTAAAAGACAATGGCAGAGGAGGGGAAAGAGAATCAATTATGAGCTGAGTGGTAGAGGAAAGGATATATGAAGAGAAAGTCATCTCCAAAATAGGACTGGCAGGAGCATTATACTCAAGTAAAAACTAAGTAAGATGACTGGTGTGACCTCACCCTCCTTTTTTATCATCCACTTATCTTCTTTTTTGTCTGTGTCTGTTTTTTGAAGGGTGCCCAATATAGCTAGTAAAGCCAGTAAAGAAGAATTAATCTAAAATATGACAGGGGGAAGCTATTTTAATGTAATCAGATACAGAATAATCAAAATGGTATGTAAGCATTAATTCATTGCTTGTGGAGTACAAGCTAAGAAGGACAGAGAGTTAACACATCATAGTACTCTGTAGCTTTATTTGGCTGCTTAAATTATCAAAGTATTTTTTGACCTGTGAAAAATGAGAACAAGATTCCAAGCATAAAGGAAATTAAAAAGACTGGGATTAATGTGGGCTTGGTAAATACTGTAGCTGCTTTGAGCTAGCCAAAGGTAACACTGTAAGTGACATATTGCAGATGACCACACAGACTGACAGTAATGCCTGCTATTAAGTTACAAGATAAAATCCTTTTCATTAACTCTGAATGCATCTAAACTATCAATGGACTGTAGTTAATTATTAAAAGACAGCAGCCCTTTGAGAGAGGTTGATTTAACGGTGGGAAGTGTGCTGCTCATTTGCTATTCTCTGTACATCTAGCTTCTTGTATGTTGCAGACTTTCTTTCACTGAAATGTATAGGGTCTCCACTACAACTACTGACTACTGTCTACTGACATTGTCAGTCATTCCGCTATAATTTTACGTTTTCAGAAGTTTATAACTCAGCCATATGCTTCCCTTTAGGCCAACATTTTTATAGGAAAAAGACTGTTCATAAGTTATCAAAAATATATTTGACCAGTTTTAGCCCCTGATTCTTTAATCTAAGCATGTGCTTAAATCCCATTGATTTAAAAGACGTCCGATAGACTATCGGTTCATATAGTGCACTATGTCCTATTCATATTGTTTTATTTAATTTTTAACATGTTTTTAAAACTCTGATTTGGAACCTTTGCAGTCCTTTGGATAAATAATATCTATTTTATAAATGGGCCTTTTGTTTTTCATTTTACTTATTACATGAGGGTTAAAACAGTCTTAACTAGAGTTGTGCTTGAACCAGACCACCACATCTGAATACCTCCAGACTCTGAGAATTCATGTCTTGTTCAGAATTTTGCTGCTGGCTGCTTTTTCAAAAATGGGCCAAGACAAAACCCTAAATCCAAGTGCAGGTTTGATCCCGATCCAAGCCCAAACTTTATTTATGAGGTTTATCTTTAGCAATCAAAGTTCAGATATTTAGCTGGGATAAATCAACATAGCTCTACTGGGGAACATGACAGTTAGTCAATAACAGCTATTTCAGAGCTATTACCCTATTTTCTGTGTTTACTTTTTTAAATGATCCTGGGTTCCAAAACAGAATATAAAGCTAGGTGTGTGCTGTAATACCAAGGAACAGGTGGTTTGAGTTAGGGACAAATTATTAGCCATCATTTTATATTTTCTTATAGTTGTAGGTAGAAATCTTCCAGTTTCTGGCCTTTAAACCACAACAGTAATATTTATACAGTATAACTAATTAGAAATAAAATCTCATTTAGAAAAGTGTCCTCTCAGCAAATGCATGGAGCATAAAGAAATAAGAATATAACTGTTATTGAGCACATATACTGCTGATTTTCACTGCAAAACAATATTTTTAAGGTGTCAAAATAATTTCCATGTAAATGGAGATTTGTACGCGTCCTTTAAGCATCTGTTTGGGTTTTTTTCACCAAATCTTACAGAAAATAAAGGACATTTTAAAGACTTGCTACATCAAAAAGAAATGGAATGATTATTGGGGAGTGACAATAGTTTCACATGCATATCAAAAATGAAAAAGGTTTCAGTGACTCCTCTTTCATTAAACATACTAGTAGCAGCAATAATAGTTATTTATAAATAACATTTGCTAAATCAGTGTAGTAGTGACAGCTACACGCAAAGCAAAGGATATGCTTAGGTCAGATTCTTCCCTTGCCACCATACAATAGTCAGAACACTGAAAAGATATTTTAGTCATACTAGGGGTGGCATATGCAAACCCCTTTCTATAAACAGTATGGAAGTAACTACCACCCTGCTCTAGATCTGAAAATGAGGGCACGAAGTAGTGGCTATGACAGTGGCAGAAAAGAAGAGAGAGAATCAGGTGGATTGGTCCAATTAAAAATCCTATACCTTGGAGAATGTTTGTAGTGCCCCAACTCCCAATAAACTTTGGAAACTAGGAGGGATACATGTAGAAGGCAGCCACCTGTTTATGCGTGGAATTTTTGGCAAACCCAAACCTCATGAGTACACATCAAAAAACTCTGCAAGACTTTGGTGGCTTCTTCAAAAGATCTCAAAAACTCCTAGGCAACCAAGCTCTTCTTTTGTCTAATAGTGGTTCTGGAAACTCCAAATGGAGATTATATACAGGAGGTATCACCAAGAGACTTCAGCCTTTTGCCTTTGTGTTAACAGAGCATTCATCTCAGACAACTTTAAAAGTGGGGAAGAATTTGTATACTTCTTATTAAACTTATCTTACACCTTGATACTGGGACCTTTTGGAGGTCAGGGAATATGCAGAGGGATTTTGCTGGGCTTTCCATAACTGAGAAGAACAATTACTGCAGTAACTTCCAAGTTTATATTTCAGGGAGATGGTAGTGTTCCCATAACTGAGTGGAGTAGAAAGCAAAAACAATATTTGATTATTAACCATGTTTGAGCTGCAGTAGTTTTTGCTTAGGGCAAGTGCCATGGAGAAAAGGTTCCACTTACAGATCTTTGTGAAACAGTAACTTTCTGAATGATAGATCTGTTTCTTCCACAACTGTATTCCTTTAGCAGGTATTAACTATAGAGGATTCTGTCATATGTACAACTTTGGTGCAAAGAAGATTATTTAACTAGCTTATTTTTAGGATTTAATAGCTGTTGTTTTTAGTCTTTTGTAGTGTTCCTGCATCTGTACAGTAACAGGTCTTTGTTTCAGAAGGTATCCATTGTACAAATTCAGGTATATGTTTAGCCACTTATGCTTGTGTAGGAGGAAGTAGGAAAAAAACATATGGAATATCTCTAAAATATAATTCAGTTTACCTGTGAGAGTGCTCCAAGAATGATGATGGTGGTGGGATTACATTTCTTAGGTCTGTCTTCAGTTGTTTAAAGATTTATTATCTGTCTTTCTTAAGTATTTATAAGGTAACTATTTCTTTCGTATTGAATTATCATGTACTATATCTAGTATTAACTACATGGTTTAAGTCTCTTTCCAAGTTTCTGACTCTTTATGTACCTTCTTACCTTCCATTGGTCAGAGGAAAAGTGATTTTGGTCAAAATAGTTTGTAAGGGGAAAAACTGATTCAGTTACGCCTTTCTGCACCAGAGATGTCAGCCAGTGGAGATGCACTGCAACAAACACTTAGCATAGGCAGAAAAAGCCTATTAAGCTGTACTGGAATAAATCATGGTTTAAATTGGTTTTGCCCTTCTGTACTAAGGATTTGCACAGGTGCAGCTCCCCCTGTTCTGGCCCTTGATGGTGTAACTTGAGCAATTCTCCCTGTAGAAGAAGTCTTAGTATTTCTGTCTCAGTACTTCTTGAATTTTTTTTTTTTACCTTCCTTATGTCACAACACTGGTCTCTTGCAAAGGGGCATTGTTCTTTTCTGATATTGTCAGAATGACACTGTAATCGCTCTCAGAGCCTATAGGCTCAAAGCCAGAGATCTTTAATAATTTTCTACTCAGATAAAATCCTACTCCCTTCAATGAGAGTTTTGCTAAGTAAAATGTGAGTCCTCAGTCATTCTCTATTACGGCTGCACTCAGATCTGGCCCTTCTCTGTAGAATGGGGAGAGGTTAGATTCCTCTATGGCTCCATCCCTCCCTTGTTGGTACCCTGCAGAAAGCCCTCCACAGGGACTGTCGATACACACATGGGGAGGAGGTGAGCCAGAGACAAAAATGGGGACTAGGAAGGGCAAGCATCATTCATTCATGAAGTCCTAAAGGGGATTTATGCTGTAGAGGTCATGCTGTACTGTGGAAACCCCTTTTGTGGGTGATCACAGGAAGAGCCACATGTGGAGTATTGCCAGCAACATGACCCCGTTGGAATCTGCACTGTCTGGGAACTCGAGGGGGGCAGGACATCCAAAAGCAAGCCTTGAGGCACAGGACTTCCTCAGAAATATCCCTGATCTCTGGTCATTCCCAAGATCCATGGGAATGAGGCAGAACCCTCTGCTTTGTCCTTTGGGGGAGGGAGTGGGAAATCTAGCTTTCCTTCTTATCCATCTACTAGGTAGAAAAATTCAGATGAAACACCATGGGGAAGTCTCACAGAATTTTCCTCCCACAGATCCCCTGTTTGAGGTCAGTTCTACAAGACAGGACAACACTGGCTAGCGTAAGGAGCTTAGGATGTGATCCTTATTGTTTATCACTTTTATTGGCCTTTAGCACAGGCACCTTGGGTGACATTCTGGCCCCACACAAGTAAATGGCAAAGCTACCACTGATTTCAATTAGGCTAGGATTTCGCCCTTTGTCTTTTATTTGCCTGTGAAGCACCATGTACACCTTTGGCACTACATAACAAATAACCGTTATTATACATTTTAAACAGCTCTCTTAATTTTGTTTTGATATTATTGCACACTTGAACTCCTTATTTCTTCTGCTTAAGCTGTATCATTCCTGATGGAACTGACAAAATAATTCTTGAGCAGTGATTTGAATTTTAAATTCTCTCTTTAGTTTTCTAGAGTGGACCTGCAAGTACCCTAGCAGATCCTTTTTTGTTCTGAAATGTAATTGACTCGCTAGTCTGTTTGTAAATTCTCTAAGCTGAGTAGTCACGGGAAGGCTGTATTAGAGGGCTCACTCTCAGTGGACTCTTTTTGTGAATAACATTAAGAAAAGCTCTCTATTTATTTAGGTGTAAATATACTACTGTAATTGAGCCACTGGTTCTGTCACTTTCAATGTAATGTGGCTACTTCTCCTAATGGAGTGATTCTTTATGGTCCATTGACCATTCAATCCGGTCAACAGTGTTATAGCTTGTTGATACCCAACTTTCAGCTTAATATTGCTTTTAAGAATGAGCCAAAATAAATTAATTAAATCTATTTGAAATGAATGCTGAGCAGTGGAAGAGCAAAATTTTTCATCCTACCCAGAAATCATAGCCATATGATACTGTGATGGTGAGCGAGTGCTGTTTGTTTATACCTGACAGCAAATAGTTTTGACTGGAAATTAACAGATTAGATGTAATCATCTGTGAGTAGCACCAAAAATAAAAATACTTTGCACTTATCCGTAGTAACTTCAATAAGGGGATCTCAGAGCTTTGAAGATACAATAATACATTTAGAATTGAAGCACAGAAAAATATTTAATGACTTCCCTAAAGTCATACAATAACATCTGTGGCAGAGCTGGGACTTGAACCCAGATTTTCTGACTCATGATCAGGCTCCTTAAGTAAAAGACTATTCTTCTTCTATCATAGATTTCATGGATGAACAAATAAAAGTTGGTGCCTTTTAATAGGACTTCTACATCCCACATTTGGACTTTCCAATCTGCATTTAGGCTTGTAAAACAAAATGTTTGCACCCAAAGTATCTGTTTGGGAGATGAACTATGAGATTTCAACACTCTACTAGAGTGCTTATATTTCAAAATTTAGTCTTTCTGTTATTAATATTAGGAGTCATTTTAAGCCTACTTTACTGTAATTATTGAACTCTTGTTAATGCTAACCACAACTGTGCTTCAGTTCTCACGATATTTTTAAAACAACAAACAGGTTTGCTTTCTGCCCTTATATGGCAATATAGCACAGTGCACTTTATCTGGCATATAAGCTTCATATAGAGTAATTTATAATGAAAAAAATATGTATTCGCAAGATATTGTCCTTTCTCATAACAACTTGTAATTTCCCCCCCATTCATAGCAGGAAACTATCACGGTGAGATGATAGAGAGATGATAAAAATGAGATGAATACTTCCTTTTTGATGTACATTACTATATTTCTTCTGGTTAGATACTATTTGTCACTATTGTAGACTTCCTATTGATAAAACATTTTAACCATCAGTTCAAGTGTGAAGATATTTACTGTACCAGCACACACTGCCATTTTAGATGTCAATGCTCTCCTATTTACAATCACTTTGCATTACAATTTGTATCTTTTACTTTCTAAGTTCTGTTCTGGCAGGTTAAAGCATCTTATCAATATAAACTTTTCTCACCCCCAACAAGACAATGCTTTATTACACACCTGTACTGGACTGAACAATTCCAGAGTCCACAGTTTGCCCCAGAAGATCATATTGGTTCAGTCGAGAGCCATCTTCAGCCACAACCACAGACCTTGCTGGTTCCCTTGTCCATTCATACACAACCTCCGCTCTGGTATAGGCATCTAATTTAAAAGAAAAATATTTCATTTCCCAGCCTTTTACATTATATTGCAAAGGCAGAGTACTGCCTTTTAAATTGGAGAGGAAGTAATCCATCTCTTCCCCATCCCATTCCTGATATTGAAAAGCCTGAGTAGATCAGACTTTGTGCAGGAAACACCAAGGGGGGATGGGGCATGAAATCTGCATCCCCTCCTTCATGGGCATGCCATGGACCACTTCCATTTTTCTAGATTCCAGACCATGATGAGAGACAGCAGCTAGACCCCTCTATACCTATATGCATTGTGGGTTGGGCCACTCGGTCCAAATAAACCTCCCCCAGCTAAGCCTCAATGGTCTCCTCTTTGTCAGCATGATTAGAACTCTACCCTCTGCATGGACACCCCATCTGTAGACCACCACTCCCCACTTACCCTGTTTTATGAGACTTAAGTGGCATAGAGGCCACAAATTCATCCAAGCCCAGACAGGCCTCTGAGCTAGACTATATTATCAATTTGTATGCAGCACATTGGGGGTGTAAATATATCTTGCACTAGCATGACATGCACTAACTGTCTGTGTGGACCCTTCAGAACACTAGAGTGCTTTGATCTACCCCGCTTTGAAATTAGAGTAGATCAAAGCACACTAAGGAACTTTTAGTGCTTGGCAGTAGGGTCAGCATAGACAGTGCATGGCAGGCTAGTGTGGGATAGATTTACACTCCAGCCTGGCATGCACTAACTGCTCATATAGACAAGCCCTGAGACTGTCTGGGCTTGGATGACTCTGAACTATGCTGAATATATTTTTCTGTACCTGCTATCTCTGAAGAGTGCTGAAAGTGCTTATCCTTGTTCACACTTACTTACATTTATATACTTGACAAAAAGAAAGAAAACAAGCTTTGCATTTCACTATAGACTCTCTTCTCATTCTCTGCAATCCAGTTTAAGTCTAGTATGTTACATAAATGAATCAGTGGTATTGCATGTTCCAGTCAAGTATTTGTTTCCTGTAATGACTAGATCACTAACCAAGAATCAAACTATATGTGACTATTTTTTCTCTTCATGTTGTAAATGATTCATCCATCATTTTTCCTGGTGTAGTTTTCTGCAATCTAATGGACCTCACTCAGAGCACTTAGTGTGGGAGCATGTCTGTGCAAGTTTGGGAGTGGCAAATGGCTAGGAGAGCCTGGGCATCTTATTTATCTGAACTCACTTGTGGGCTTATAGTTCACTGTATCAGTACATAAGATGTACTTGGAAGCTGAGAAGATGGAGTTGATAGAGAGTGGTGATAAAAGGAATTGTATGGGGTTTGCTCCTGCACCATTAAAGTAAAAGGGACCATTGCTATTTGTCAGTGCACTGACTTCCACGGGAGTTGGATCAGCCCTTAATAGTGTACATGATTTCAAAGTAACAATGTAAATAAGTGGTAACTTTATTGGAAACAATGGTAAATGCAAAATCGTGTCCTAGTAACTGTGCAATAATTCATACATGCAAACATTTTTCCATTAATCTATATCAGCATAATGGAAGGGTGGAAATATTATTCCTCAGTTGCAAGCACTCTACTGATTCTGGAGTATGAGGACAGGTTAGAAGCCAAGGGCCTGAATTTCAAAAGTGCTGAGAACCCAAAACTCAATTAGAAGTCATTGAGCGTTGTAGGTGCTCTGCTCTTCTGAATCAGTTTGTATTTTCATATAACTACAGTATTTCAGATTCATAGAATCATAGAACCATGGGGTTAGACCGCAAGGGTCATCTAGTCTAACCCCCGCCAAGATACAGGATTTGTTGTGCCTAAACCATCCAAGACAGATGGCTATCTAGCCTCCTTTTTAAAACATCCAGCGAAGGAGCTTCCCCAAACTCCCTAGGCAGTCTGTTTCATTGTCCTACTGTTCTTACAGTTAAGAAGTTTTTCCTAAGATTTAATCAAAATCTGCTGTGTTTTAGTTTGTACCCATTGCCTCTTGTCCTGCCCTCTGTGGCAAAAGAGAACAATTTTTCTCCATCTTTTTTTATGGCAGCCTTTCAAGTATTTGAAGACCGCTATCATTTCCCCCATTAATCTTCTCTTTTCTAAACTAAACATACCCACTTCCTTCAGCCTTAGCTCATATGGCTTGCATTCCATCCCTTTGATCATCTTTGTCGCTCACCTCTGGATCCTTTCCAGTTTCTCTACATCCTTTCTATACATTGGTGACCAAAATTGGACACAGTACTTCAGCTGAGGCCTAACCAGTGTGGAGAAGAGAATTGTCAGCTTTGGTTTCAAATTCATTTTGTGACGTTTTCCCCCCAAGGTAGAGATGCAGGTATTAGATAAATGACAACGTATGCCCTATGCCCTTATTACCACTGCTGCTTTCCTGAGTGACACTGGTTTTGTATGAATGGAAGATGTTAACTGAACTGACAATCGGATTTTATGCATAGAGGTAAGGAGAACATCTGCCTTTCTGATATTGTTCTTGCCAACATATGTCTTTCTGTTGTTCCAGAAGCCTCTTAAGCATTTGTTATAAAGTGCCCCAGTCAACTGGAACCTCCTCCTGCTTAGGATGATATTTTGGTAATATATTTTAGCTTTGGAGAATTTACTGGCCTTAACAACATGGGCAGAATCCATGGAATGTATGTGCCACCCCCCTTGCTGTGAGACCTTTCTGGAATCAGTTCCAGAAAGAAGTATATAATGATGGAGGAAATGAAAAAGCTTTTGTCCAGCACAATTCAATACAGACATTGCTGGGCAACCACTGCTGTAGCAAGCCATTAGCTATAATAATAAGATTTTAGTTTATGGAGTGGCTTTTGTGACCATGAGAAGCCATTATTCAGGCTAATATTCTCTTGGGCCCATTCAGACACGTTGTGTAATTTAGTCAAAATATGCAGTGTTGATGGTCCATGAGTATTGAAATATGCCTCCGACCTTATGGGTAAATGTAAGGCCTGGCCTCACTTTTCCTGAGTGTAAATTTCACCATAGAAAACTATGGTCATGTTTAGCCTTCTTCCCACCTTCATGTGAATATGAAAACCCATTTCTTTTCCAAATAAAAATGACCTGGAAACTGTATCACTCAGCTGATAACATGGCAAAAGATTTCCAATACTCTTAGATAATTCAAAAACTGCTGAAACTAATATACTAATAATGGAAATGAGACTGCATCATGAATGCATTCTGCTCTATGTATGTGTGTTTAAACCACCCAGGCTTGCGTATCAGCAAGGTAAATAGAAGAAGAAAATTTGAGACTCGGGGAGACAATGGGATAATAAACTAGGCTTTAACTTCATAGTATGGCTGGCCAGAAAACAAGAATTTTGTTTCATGAAAAATTTAAAGGTTTTGACGTTTGTTTTTGTTCCATAATGGAATGAACCAAAGAGCTTTTACATTTTTTTCTGAATGTTATACCCCAGAACAGCCAATATTCAGGGTAGAGTCAAACAAAACAGGGACTTGAACCTGAGTCACCCGCATGCAAAGTGAGTGCCCTAACTACCAGGCTATTGGCTATTTTGAGATCTTGGTTGCCCTCATTTTGGCCACAAAACCCATCCTAAACCTTAGAAACTGATATATTTTTGCTAATTTTGGGGGGGGGGGTTGATAAAACAGCATTTTCCTAGGGAAAAACATTCCATCAAAAAATTCTTAACCAGTTCTAATTCTGAGACCTCAGCTCCAATCTTAGGGCCAAATCATCCTCTTTGGGGAAATGAACTGTGTAGCATACTGGAAACTGTCAACGTTTTCTCCTTATCATGCCATTTAGGAAGAAAATGTTTGCCATCTCACCCCCAGATGATTCACCTTCTTCGAGAAACAGGTAGTGATTTCAGATCCCTGAAGACCAAGGAATTGTGGGTAGAGAACCTGTACCCTTACAATGACTCCACACTACTACATAAGTCAGCGACTTGGTAGCATAGCTTTTTCTAGCCACCACACCTGGAAGCCACCTTAAAGTGGGGGTTCTATTGCACTAAGCATCTTACTGAAGACTGGATCACCATTAACTGATTCACAAAGTCTCTGCAAGGTTGGTGTTGAGATGATATTGGATAGATTAGCTATAACCTTTATTCATGCCTCCAAAACTACAAAAGCCCAGTCTCCAGGGAGCCTCAGAGCAGCAGAAGCGGAATGATGCAAGGAAGGCAGCACTCCCTTTCTCAGAGGAAATTCATTTTGTTACCTCAAAAGGGATGCCATTTGTTGTACGTTTTACAAAACAGTCAATATATTTGATAGTGCCTTGCACAAGAGTCCAAGACTGCAGTAGCAGGGCTGTTAAAGTTCAGTGTGTGTTTTGGTCATGGAGTTTTGTGAAGGAAGCTTGGAACATACCAACTCACATCATATCTGGCTGCGAATAGCAGTACTAAGGTTTGACACTTTTCTTATTGAAGTCATTGGTAAAACTCCATTGACATCACTGCACTATCCACTATCCGACCCCTACTCCCTATTTAGTTAATTTGAGGAGCAATCATACACACTGATGATAATAAAAATAATAAATTTTAAGAGTATAGGGCAGAGGAAACATGATCAGAGCCATAAATAATACATCTAAAGATATCTTTGTTTTGTTTTAATTTTGTATTAAGGATTTTATATTTGTACATGCATTCATTTTATCTATCCTGCTTCCATCCTTATTTTGTTTGTATCTACAGAGAATTCCTTTCCCGTTTGCTTGTGAGAACTTGCCTTGTACATCTGAAAATCCAAACACTTAGTAAAGTAAGAATAGCCTAACCTGGACTTGTGTAACAGCCAGCCAGAGAGAGCCTAGACTAGAATAGAGAGTCTTTAAAGAACATTTAAAACAAATTTAACATATTTGGTAGGCTCCCTGATACTTCAGTTCTCTCAGAACACTGGTAGCCATGTGCCCTATTATACTTGGAGGTTTTATTTATTTTCTTCTGTTTCACAGGAGATAGTGAGAAATGTTTCCTGGAAGAGCTGAAAGAAAGTTTGACATTCAAAAGGTATCAAATTCTGGACAGCTGCACTCAAAGTTTCTAAGCTTTTTATTCTCTGAATCCCATCACTATACAAAATTGTGTGTAGAAGACTGGTAGCTGTCTAGAGGCAATACATCAATCCTTTCTTAGAGTAAATATAGGGCCATTCATTTCAAAGTAAATTATCACATTGTCTGGTACCCAGTGAGGAATGAATTGAATGAATAATTATTCATTATCAGTGAAAAGACCCATTTCTACTGGAAAGAGAAATAGCCATTGAGGAAACAATTTGTATCCTATTAAATGTTCACTCATTTTGTCTTTTTTTTCATGTTGAACTGGATGAAATAAACTCCTCCTGTTATTTTTTCTGATCCAAGCACTTTCTCACAATTCAGCTTTTTGATATGTGTACTTTAATAAATTATTTTAAAACAATATATTTATCTGCAAAATGGGAATATTTGTGAGGGATGACTTTCAAAAGAATCAAGAGTTTGGTCTCAGCCAAGATGTTTACCTAAACTGAACCTTTTCAGAGAAATCCTGGTCCCATTGAAGGCAGTAGCAAAACTCCAATTGACATCAACGGGGTTCAATTTTCAACCCATAAATCTGCTAATCTGAGCTAGAAATCTTGAAAGAATGGGACTCTCTCATGAGATTTGTAAGGTTTTTATCTCCAGAAGTGCAAAAAGATCACCTTTTTTTCATTATACCTCTGCTTTAGTTCCAATTTTTAAAAAAGTAATAGGAATATTTGCGCACCTTAGAAAAGAATTGATTTGTATTTGATTTCAAAAATGCGCAAATTGGGGGGGAAGAGGTTCACTTTTATCTGAATCAGTTCATTCATCCATGGATCTATATCACTGATCTTACTTATTCTCAAACTAAAATTCAATTGCAGTCAAGTTTAAAGTGGGTTTCTATATGCCATGCTGCAACTACATCTTTGGAGCGTAGCCATTTATCTCTTTGGCTAATGCCTAGACAAGATGTTGGATTATATTTAGTCATGTAGAAAATGTTCATTTAAAAAAAAACTGGAAAGATTGAAAAAATACAAGCTTTTATGTTTTTAAATAATCTTCTGATCTGATCTGATGTGAAATATTTGTAAGGTGGCCTTAAAAGGGGGAACCTGAGTTAAAAATAAACTTACAGCTTCCAAATTTCAATGGGCAAGCATGTGCATCCATTGGAAAGTCTTCTAAATGCATTGGACATTCTGCTCTCACAGTCAGTCTACAATGGATTCATAAGCAAAAGAAAAGATTATAGCTTCATGCAATTAACAAACAAAATTATATATACAATTATATAAAGGAATATTTAATAAATACAATTATAAAATACATTTGCTAAGTGAGTAACAAGAGAAATCCAAAGAATTATTGTCATATTCACAAACTTCTAAAAGATGGTTTGGAACAACTTTTTAAAAATGTGACTTTTTTTTCAGTCTTGCTGTAAATCTTTGCTCAGCTCTAGATGTTGCTTGACTGGCCTGAAATCTTCCACAAGTCTTCTAATATTGTTTAATTTGTTCCTGAAGTCTTTACTTGGGCAAAATTCTCATTGACAATAATGGGAGTTTTGCCTCAGTAATGCGAGTATAAGGACAATAATGGACAAAATGTTAAAGAGCTTGTTTAGTTTCCTCTTCAGTAGCTTTGTGTTTGGCCAATTATCCAGTTATTTAATATCATCAGCCTCAGGCATCATATGTTGCAAAATAAGCCTTCATTTCATATCAAAGATGTTATACAATATGGACCTGATGCATGGCCCACTGGCATTAATGAGATGCTTTCCACTGAGTTCAATGGGCATTAGGCCCTCTTTTTCTAGATGTCTGCCTCAGTTTGGAAATGAACCTAAATCAATAGATTGGTGCAAACATTGCAGAAAAGTTGACAACCTAGGAAGAATGAACTGGTAGAGTAGGTTTGAAAACAGACTTCCAAAGAAAGTTTTCAAAATTATTTTTTTTGGTAGTCCACATTAAATGATTCCTGAGGCCACACAGAAAGTTTGAACACCCACTTCTTAAATCCCAATGGACTGTTACAGTGAACCTGAAAAAGAAATGTAGTTCTGTAGATGCACTTTGCCCATTTTAAGCACGGTTCTTTAGAATGTCCAGTACCAATTTGTTAAAGAGATGTATTGGTGATAATGACAACCCAACAGAGTGAGACATTCATTTTATATATATGTATATTCATTATATAATATAGGGCTCAGACATTAAGAAATTATATGAAACTGCATACTCCTTACTCGGACAAAACTTCCACTGCTTTCATATTATATACTTCTGTAATCTCTCAACAACATAAACACTTGGGGTAAAATCCTGGCCTTATAGAAGTGGTTCTAAAGTGGTTTGGGGACTGAAATTTACTTAAAACAAAAACCTTGTTACTGCATTGGCTTGGGATAAATTCAAGCTAAGCTCCTGATTGATAAAAATAAAGATTTGATTGGCTTGGATGCAAAAATATTGCTCAGTAAGACAGGTAAAATAGAGAAGGCTTATGACAACAGGATTTATATTGTCCGTGAAAAAGTCAAGCACCACACATTAGCAAGGAAAGGACAGTAATAACTGAATACCATACAGAGATTGCATGCCTGCACTTTTACAAGTAAAAGGTGAGGAAGACAGAAATAATAATGATTAAAAGGACATGTTTGAACAATGCACTGCAAAGTGGTGCTCTTATATATTAGGTCCCTAACATCCAAGATTTTGGGGAGACAAGAAAAATTGACCTAAACTTGTATCACTGCCAGATGAAAAGGTCCGACTCCAGCTTAGACAGTATTGAAAGATGTTTCAGAATAAATTGAACATATTTGACACGCTCCCAGGAGCATGGAGATTTGGATTTCTCAAAACACTGGGGACATCTGTCTCCTTTTTTAACAGTTTTAGAGGTGTTAAAAGAAATCTTAATACTCACACAAGTATCAATCTGACCAGCTTGATTAGTCTAAAGAATTATTTTATACTTTGAATCCCAGTAAGACAAAACCTGTAGACTGGCAACTGTCTAGATGCCAAAACCAGGAATACAAGCAAACAAAAAACAACAATATTCCTTTCCAATTGTTTGTTATAAGGCTTTCCAATCCAAAATTGTTAATATTTGTGTTCTATAACAATGTGTGGAATGAATTGGTTATTTACTTTGCTGACTAGCATTTAGAACAAGTTAATAATTATCCAAATTCTTCATGAGTAGAATGATACAGTTGTAATAAAAAGAGTAATGTCTATCAATGAAACAACTTGTTCCCCAACATTTTCACAAATTCTTCAGACCACTTAGTTTTCCTGTTATGTCTAAAACCATGAATGTCCATTTTTAGACTATAATGTCCTATATTTCCCATGGAACAAGGAAAGTGTGCAAAAACCTCTGTGCCCTCATTTTTCTAGTCCTCAGAGTCTGTTTTCCATAGTACTCAAAAAAAAAAATGCTTTACATTTTAGGCCTACCTCACTAGAGTGTGAGTAGCAAACTTTCAGGCTTCATTGTGCTTTTAGGCTGGGATTCTCAAAAGAAACTCCAATTTCAGGTCCATTAAAAGCTAGTTGATGCTGTAGGCCTAATTCCCTTAGGTGCCTTTCAAAATCATAGCATTAAAGCACAGGCAGGGAGTGTAAAAATGGCCATGGTATGGCATGAGAAAAAAGATTATATAGTAAACTCCTGAATTTAAGTCAAGTATTGTATTATCTATTGTGAAAATAATTAATAAGCCTAAAATTCAAACATACAGTTATCTTCCAAAATAAATATTTCTCCATTCTGTTTGAGGAAATTGTACCATAAAAAAGTAGTAATTTCAAATGAAATGAAAAAATGCGGTATTCTTATTCTTACCTCATTGTATACAGCAGTGTCCCATCCTCTGTAATTCGTAGTAGTTTGTTAGGCATCGTCATGTTATGAGCCACTGATTTCTTTCCATTGTGGAAAAAAGTATCAGGTGTCCAAATCTTGCTGGCCATTAAATTATTTAGCCGGAGGACAGTCATGGGTCCTTTGAATTTTAGTCTCTCATCTCTCCAACTTTGACGGAAAAATACATCTATTGTATATTCCTAGAGCAATTAATACAATGGGAAAACTCTCAAGATTGTCATATTTTGCAATACAAGTTTGTGACAGGTAAACTTCTAGCATTTTTGTAAGAGCAAATTATGAGAACAGTATACCATGTCTAAAGATTGTTATTAAGATGGTTACAGCTTTGGTACTCATTTAAACTAAAAAAAGGTTAGGAAGAAATTTAGAAAGGATTATGAACAACAAGTAAGATATGAGTTTACAGATATGATATTTTGACTGCATATGCTGGAATATTGCTTTCAGTTCTAGCCCTATGTAGCCAAGTTGTGGGGAGTTCAAGAGATCACTGAAAATTATGGTAGGAATGATTTTTGAGGAAAGAGTACAAGAGCTCAGTGCCCAGAATCACTGGACTGTACAGAGAGAAGTCAAGGGAAGATTTGGACCAAACTTGTTGCTTGCCTAGGCAACGATTGAGGAGATGGGGGAAGGGACACAATGCCTGATTCTCTCCTCATTTACAATAGTTTGAAAGTAAGGTATTACTCCTGATTTACATCCGTGTAAATGAGAAGAGAATTCATCCTTGACAGTAATCATTGCTCATTAAGGAATGAATTTTTTTTTATCATGGCACAAAGCAGCATAACCAGAAGTAATAGGATGAAATTACAAAACAGTTGTAATATATAAAAATATATATATCAGGCAGTAAGATATATAAAATCATGGAACAGTTTCCCAAAGGGAGTGATAGAAAAGATTTAATATTAGACTGGATGAAGTATGATGAAATAATTTGTAGGAAATAATCGTGTACTGACATGGGGCTAAACTATCTGACTTTAAACGTCTCTTCCATCTGTAACTGCTATGATGCTGTGATGAATATGAAGCTATTGAAAAACACCGCAATTTAAAATTACACTGTGCAGTCATCCATTGTTTTTGGCTGAAGACTGAGGCTCCCCTTAGACTTTTTGACAAAGAACCAATGGCAAACCATGAAGGAAAATGACCCTGCCATCACTGAAAATGTATAGATATGTATTACACACACAAGTAACAGAACTACACATCTATCCAAGAATACAGTCAGGAAAGACAGGCACGCTGGAAAGAATAATGGAAGAAATTAGGTTCCACACCACACCAGACTCCAGCACAACAGACCACCTTTAAATCCTCCATTTATTTTTAACAAATGTTAGTATTTCATGGAGCAGAAACCATTGTGAGATGTTTTCTAATCAGTAAACTATCAGCTGCATTACAGGCTATTTAGACTGGAAAGGTTACAGTATGTCTTTGTGCTTCATCTCTTATCTTGGTATGATATTCATAATCAAATTCCTTGCACATAGTCAAATGGTTTAGTCACATGTGGCTAAATGTTTCTTTAAGCCCTGATCCAGCAAGCCATTTTAGCATGTGCTTAATTCTAATCACATTAGTATTTGTATTGTTTTCAATCACCTAGTGACTCCTGCTCCATCTCACAACTGGGGGCAGGATTATTTGGCTACAATGGGACTACTCACATGCTTCTAGTTAAGTACATGCTAAAGGGCTCTGCTGGAAAAAGGCCCACATGAGGAACCACTTAAATCAATGGGACTTTTGCCACTGACTTCAATGGGGTCGGGATTTCACACCAATGTTTGTACCAAAGCAGAGGTGAGAGGGGCTCGGTGGCTTATGGGCAGCAGGTGACAAGAGATTGTTGGGCTTTCATCAAGTTCTCCAAGGTCTACCCAAAAACTTCCTCCTACACAGAAGTGTAGTGAAAGATAAACACAGGAAATGACAGCCTGGCAGCATAGAAACAATGTTCACCCACATCTGATACTGCAGAAAGGGAAGACAGTGGGATGACGTGAAAGTTTGGAAGGAGGAGACTAAGGAGCTCAATCAGTCACTGGATATTGGTGCAGGGGGATCTGAAGTTGAGAGATCAGGTGTGTGACCAAATAATTTGATGGAAGCGGAACAAAAGCAGAGAGGAAGTGTTTATGGGTCTAGTCAGGCACTCTGCCCTTCCTGACTGCAGGCTCCTCTACCCTAAAAAACCTTTTCCCAGAGCAGTCATTGAAATTTAAAAATGAACATGCTGTGGCTATGCTCCCCCTTATTAGGGTTAGTTATTCTGCTCATATGAAAGCTATCAGAAAGCCACTTTAAACATCAAATGGTCAGATCTTCTCACCAGAATGGGTGTGATTTCTGTGGCATGGGACATGACTTAACAGAGCAGGAAAACAGAGTTCCCAAAACTCCTTGCTGTAGTTCTAGTAAATATGCAGTTAAACAAGCCAGACAAGAATCAGACTGCACCATTCACAGCAAGGATTGGTCACATTTGCATTAGTGGGAATGTAATCAGAGAAAAATAAATTAACCCTCTGTATCCACACAATAAATCACATAATTGCCAAATATTTTAGGGTTGTTGCTTTGGGGGAGGCCTGTAAGGCCCAGAAAATAAATGATTTAATATTTTCTGTGTTTCCCTAACACTATCTGCTGTCTCTCTCTGGCTATTATTTATTATTATTTGTTTGTTTCTTTGTTTGTTTGTACTGTTATTATTTTACGTATCTTGCAGGAGTACCCAAAGGCCCCATTGTGCTAGTTGCTATAGTAATATATAGGAAGACAGAATTTCTGCCCTGAGGAGCTTCGCATCTAAAAAACCATGGAAGGTTTGGGGAAAGAGAGACAGACCATAGAAGGAAAATGACTGGGGTGATGGCAACCACATGCCATGTGTTCCAGCTCTCTTTCTTTCTCCATGTTCATTTTACTTAGTACAGAAATTTAGTTTAAGGTGTTTTTAAGAGGGAGTAGTAGGGTCGGTGCCAACAGGCTACAGAGATATTACTGGATTCCTGAAAGGGAGATGAGCAATAGGTGACATAACTAGCAACAATTCCTTAAACATTAAAATACACCTGCCTAAGTGATGCTGGTTCACAAACTCTAAGCCTCTACTGTAAAATTTCATTTTATTAACAAATCAATGCACGTCTTTGCCCAAGATTAGTGTAGTGAAAATTAAGAATGTGGTGTATGTTTATAAAATTATTTTTAGGAACCATCCTATTTTTTCATACCTAGTGGTTCCTCGTGCAACATAAATTCAGATATATTGATGTTGATATATTAGTTCTTTGTTTTAATATACACCTATGCTTAATTTTGAAAATAGATGACTTTATGTTCTAGTATTATATTTCTACCCAAATGCCAAGTGTCACATAAAGATAGACACGTATCAAGTGTCAAATTAGTTTCAACTTGTATTCAATAATTAAATCACTTGAATCAACCAAATCTAAGTAAGACAGAAAGTCCAGCCTTTGCATAGTCCTAGATACATCAGTAAGCCTACAAGCTGTCTTGATCTGAAGTTTATGCTATGAGAAGGCCCCCAGATGTATTGCTCACCAGGGTGGCATGCACTGCTGGAATTCCACAATGAAACTGGCTACCCATTTTCAGACAATAGGCTATCAAAGCAAATAGTTGGGGGGGAAAGTTCATAAATATGAATTCAAATTTTAAAATGATTTTTGATTCAACCATGTTCATTCTCCTTTATTGTTTACTTCCTGTGAACATCTGAACCAAGTTGCAAAAAGCAGCTAAGATTTTCAAAAGTGGCTAGTGATTTGGGCTGCTGAACCTGAGACATTTTAAAGGATCCCAATTTTCAGAATGTACTGGGCAGCCACCTTCTGAAAGTCAGGCCCCTTTAAGGTGTCTCATATTGAACACTCAAAAATGGAGGCACCCTAAATCACTTTTGAAAATCTAAACTGCTACATTTTTAGTTTAAAAGCCTGACTATTTACTGAAGATTAATTTCAAATTGCATATTTGTATTTAAAAAATATACTCGGGTTGCATTGTGTTGGTTGGTTCTATCAATTAGCCAATCAGGGAAGAGAAGCAACTTGAAGTGATTTATCTAATTTATCAACAGAGTGCAAACTGTGAATAATAGTAGGATATAAACAAACCGCAGTCCAAGAAATTGCCATTGAAGTAATTTACTTGTAATTTCAAATAGCAAATAAATGTAAGAATTTCACAATCCATTTGTAGTTTATATGCAAGCAGAAGAAAGGCAAAACTCACCAAATGCATTACCTGCTTTGAATTATTATTTCAGCTTTAGAGCGATCCACTCAGTACAATCAGCCTTTGTGCAGGTATGCCCCACTCTCCACTGCTTCCCATCTTAGTGCATGTGCACTGAGAACATGGGTCACTTGATCCACCCATTCTTCTGAATTACCTTTCACTGGAAAGGACTGAGCATCTAAAGGGGCAGCCAACTAGTTTGTGCAGCCCAACACACCGACACACCTGCCTGCTTTAATATCATCCTAAAAGTAATATCAGTTGCAGTTTTCAAATCAGTTGTAATGTGTAAATGGTATCATCCACTTCAAGCAACATTCAAATGGTGGCACTGGGCAAAGTACCAAAAAATGGAACATGAAAAATAACTAATTTTTGGAGAAAAACTTTATCTATAATCCCATCATGGAATGCTACGTTTTTCAGCTAGAACCTCAATTAGCTGTTGTGTAAGTGCAGCTATAACTTTGGAGACTGGTCCAATTTATACACCCAGCAATTTACACACCCAAAGGAATCAGTTACTTTCATGTGCTAGTTCCTCCTTTTACATTTTTCTCTTCCAGTTCTGTTGGTGTTTCGATTAGCTAGATGATTAATTTAAATAGGGAAAAAATAAAAGCCTACTTTATTAGGATATTTCCAGTTCTCATTTTTATACAGATGGTGAGGATCTAGCAAGGTTTAGTAGCCATACATCAGACCAGGATTCTCAATAGTGTCCCTTCACATGTGAGAGGGAAAATGGTTCCATTTATATGCAAAAAAGTAAAGGAACTTGCCCGTTTTTACATCTTTTTTTTAAGTTTAAGGCCAGTACCTACAGCAGCTTTGCTAGAGGTTTCTGAACATGTGACTCCCTTGTGATTATGCAGCAATTAGGCTTTGATATGCACACCATAAAGGAGTGATTCAGATTCTCATCATTAATCTTCTTTGACCAGCCAATATCTAGGAAATTCACTTCCAATTGATCAGCAGTGTTTAATTTAAAAACATGAGTTCTACAGCCTGGGCCTCAGACTGTAGGCTTACGTGTTTATCATGCTTTAAAATAATGATCTTTTTTGAAAATTGGATCAGCGGTGTGCCAATTTGGACAGAGTGATCATTCTCTCGAGGGTACTGATCCATTCAAAATGATTAAGTATGAGAGGAATTCTATACTATGGTGTGCGTATAATGCCTGTTATAACCCGTTATTAAAGTCACAGAGGCTGCTAATTTAAGGGCACTTAAATGCAGTCATAGCTAACAATGATGGTTAAGTGTAAAAGCTGACATTATTTTGGAACCAAAATATATATAAAAATGAAAGAGTGAGGTATCATGTTATTATAGAAACCCCCTAAAAATTATTACTGTAACAATATAGAATGGTACTTACCATATCGTGGTCGGAGACAGGCCCAAAGCTGGTGACGAAGATGTCAGTCTTCACTTCAGTTACACGCTCTGATGAAGCAGAAAATTAGGACAGTGAGTGTCTATCAACAGCCTTCATTAGATCTAACCACCACAAATTCTCACCCGAATAGAAAATTTATTGGCTTTGATTAGCAATTCTAAAATTGGTCTACAATGTGGGCTTGATAATTTATTGCTTATAGATGTAATTTCACAGTTAATATTTCCAGCATTTTTTTTTCAATGCGCTGTCACAATACAGCTTTTTGAGACATGAGTTTTTATGCCAGGTGTTGAAATCTCTTTGCAGACGGGTCATAGTTCTGCTGTTAATTAACTCTTTAAATGAACCTTTGACTAATACACCTGCTTGTTTCAACAGTATAAAGAGTTCTCAATAGCTAATGTTGGATTCAAAACTCATCTTATGTGTCCATAGTAAGTTCTACATTAATTAACCCTCTGTTTGTCTTTTATGTATATGCATGTATGTTACATATTTATATAATACACAGAGACAGAGACAGAGAGAGAAAGACAGAGCAAATACAGTATTATATGAAATAAAGGTATTTTTATCTGCAGAGGTTTGAGGTGGCTGCATTACTCAGGAGTGTAATAGACAAGTGTGAGCCATGCAAGCCATTCCAAACAAATGCCAATTAAACCGTTATACCACATCTTCATGTGTTCTGTATATGCCTCATATTTTAAACAGCTATTTTATAAATGTTTTAGATGTTTGTTTAAGTTGTTATTGACAGTGCTGTTTGAATCCATTCATCATCCCTACTGCCAGGTTCCCTTTGGATCATGAGAACAGCTATATAGGCCTTTAAGGGAGACAAAAGATTAATAATAACTTATAAACCTCTAAAATAAAAACTGTTACGTAAAACTCTGTGTGTGTGTGTGTGTGTGTGTCTGTCTGTCTGTAGTGGAGTCTCCATCTCTGGCAATGTTTAAATTAAGATTGTGGATGTTTTTCTAAAAAATATGCTCTAGGAATTATTTTGGGGAAGTTCTATGGACTGTGCGGTATAGGAGGTCAGATTAGATTATCACAATGGTCTCTTCCTGCCTTGGAAACTATGAATCTATATTCAGTTCTAAATATTGCCTATCCTAGACCTCAGGCCAATGAGTTTTGGGGGGGAATTTCCAAATGTGGAAGAAGGAAGAATACATTTCTCAGATTTCAGATAAAATGACAGTTGTAAAATATCAGTTGTTGAGAGGTCTGGAATATTAGAAGTAGTCCCAGAGAAAATAGATTAATTAGACATAGTGCAAGACAGGTGATCAAAGGTCCATGATAAAGGATATTGTCACAGGGCTTTGTGTCAGGTTGCCCAGAGATTGTCTCTGCTGCAGGCCCTGATTCCTAACAAGTGCAACCTGCCTGTAGTAGGCTGCCTGGTTGGCTACACAGTCTGCTTGATTGAAGGAGTCAGCAGGCCGGCCCTTGAGCCCAGCAACAGCAACAGTTGAGCAGCTGCTCAAAGCATTTGCCCATGATTGCAATAGTTCCTGCCCCAGCTTAGGACCCAGGTAACCTGATCCTAACCCTTGGCACCAATTCCTGACCATTGACTCTTGCTCTAACCACTGGATGTGACCACCCACATCCTGTTCATTGATACATTGAAACATATTATATGGATATCATATACATTTTACATTATATACATATTCCTTCAAAGTTGTAAAACAATATAATAGAAAAATTATTGATTTAAGAGACCCCTCTTCAAGTTCAAACTGATTTCATTTTATTGGACGTTGGTGGACTAACTCTTTAATAAACATAATTTATTGCACCTGGGAGAGGACAGTAGCAAAAATAAACTCATGTTCAACAATAAAAACAGTAGCATTAACAAAGCACAAAATCTGTATACATGAAACCAAAAGTTATGATGAGAAAGCAATAGTTGTGCATGTTAATTTTATTTATATTAATTGAAAATATCTAAAACTTCTAAATATTTAAAATCTTATTTTAAAATATCCACACATTTTTAGTGGTTAATTATCAAAAGGTAATATTAGTTGTGATGTAATCCATTATCACAGCTAATGTATCAAACAATGCTATTGCATCTTTTTAGGAAGTCAGCAGAGAATTTAAATAGCAGAAAAGGCAATCTCAAACATTTCTTTAAAGAAATTAAAGACTGAAATTTCCTTGAGCTATTCTTAGTCACACAAAGCTTAATATTACAGCTGTAGTTGAATTTCCTCTTTTGAATTCTAAGACTTTTATAATCAGGACTGAGTAACATGTAAATATTACAGTGACCCCATTGACAAAAGCATTTGGATGGTGAAATGTCCTCATTAACCATCCAGTGTAATGGATTTGTGCCCTTATCAACATGGTCTGCAAGCATTTAATTGTCTTAAATAAATTTAAGGACTCCCTGGACATCTAATTGGCTCTTGGCTTAATCTTAAAGAAGTTCACAGAGGGAATTTAACCTCAACCACTGGAAGAAGCATATGGTTATTACAAGAGGTATTCAACTTAGATTGAGAATGTTCCCACTTCCAGACTCTACCTCTTACAAAAAACTCATGAGCTGAAGGTAAAACAGCTGGCAGCAAAAGAAGATTCAGATTCCACATGGTGCATTAAAACATCACTGAAAAGGTTCCCAGCATTATAATACCTTTAGTTGCTAGCCACAAACTGTTCTAGCAGCCATAGACCAAATGTCTGTAAAGATATTATGACATGCCCCATTCTCCTGACCATAACCCCTACTTCCAGGAATTGGGATGCGGTAGTGAAGGAACTGTTATGCTAGCTCTAATCCATATGATGATGCTATTACAAAAATGGAATCTTCAAGGATTTGACTCACTGGATTAAAATTACATTTGCACCAAGGGAACAGTCCAAAGGAAATTTAACACACCAGGTTATTAGGGCTCAGATGATTATTGCTCAGCAAACTATTAAAACCGACTGTAATTCATTATTTGCTGTACACTTCAGTGCTGGTCTTAGATATCAGAACACTCAAAAGGGCCCCTGTCTGATGGCAGAACACATGTAAATAGAGATTGGATCAGAACCTCACCAGGTGTAAACCAGTGTACACTAGTTGAGGATGTGGCCCACAAGATATAAACAAACATCATCCAGTATAACATAACTGCAGCTGGAGCAGTTGTTTTACTAATGATATTGAGATGAAACCAATGTAAACCCTAAAAATAATAAGTAAGTTTATGGTACAAACACAAAATGATATGGAAGTAAAATACTTTGTTTTAGCTTATCAGAAATTTCATGACTTTCTGGGCTTATGATAGGATCATAAATTGAGAAATAAATGAAAAATTAATGTTGTGCAAACAACAGGAAATAAGCCAACTGTGTTACACACACACACACACACACACACACACACACACACACACACACACGGAAAATGTCCCACTTCCTTGGAGAATTATGTAACTTTGATATTTTTAACAGCAATATAACTTTGCAATTCACTAGGGAATGAATGATTGCAAGATTATTCTCAAGAAGTGGAAGATTAATTAACATACATTCTGTAGCATCCAAACAAATCCTTGGCACATTGCCTGCCCTGAGAAATGAAGGTTGTGACTTAGACTAAAATATAAATCATTGATAGATCATCAAACCCATTGAGGCATTTTTAGGACGTGGGGATGGACAAGGATCAGAATAATTCTCAGCATGTTTTTTATTGACAGATACAGACAATGGCAGTTTATCTGAGTAAGAAATGAATAGGATCAGAGGACTGGATTCTTCCACCCTTATTCACGTTTAGTGGCACCAATTAATTATAATTGGACTTCTCAATTTGAGTAAGAGTGTCAGAATAGTAAATACCTAGTAGCAAATATCTCCAATGGCCAGAGATTGGACAGAAGATGGGGAGGTTCTGAGCTACTATAGTGAATTCATTCCCAGGTGTCTGGCTGGTGGGTCTAGCCAACATGCTCAGGGTCTAACTAATCTCCATATTTGGGGTCATGAAGGAATTTTCCCTCAGGTCAGATTGACAGAGGCCCTGGGGGGTTTTTGCCTTCCTCTCCAGCATGGGTCACTTACTGGTTTAAACTAGAGTAAATGGTGGATTCTGTGTAACTTGAAATCTTTAAATAATTATTTGAGGACTTCAGTAACTCAGCCAGAGGTTATAGATCTGTTATAGGAAAGGATGTGTGAGGTTCTGTTGCCAGGAGGTCAGACTAGATCAGTGGTGGGCAACATCTGACCCGCGGGCTGCACATGGCCCGTCAGGGTAATCCGCTGATGGGCCACCAGACAGTTTGTTTACATTTTCACGGCCTCCCACAGCTCCCAGTGGCCGCAGTTCACCGTTCACAGCCAATGGGAGCTGCAGGAAGCGGAGCAGGCAACAGGGATGTGCTGGCCACCGCCTCCTACAGCTCCCATTGGCTGGGAATGGCGAACCGCAGCTACTGGGAGCTGCAGGTGGTTGTGCAAGTGTAAAAAAACTGTCTGGCGCCCATCAGCAGATTACCCTGATGGGCCGTGTGCGGCCCATGTGCAGCAGATTGCCCACCACTGGACTAGATGATCGCACTGGTCGCTTCTGGCCTTTACATCTATAGATTGAGACCACAGTAAGGACCTCAGTGTTTCACACACAGATATGGCCTAAACCAAAACTGTGGATGATAGTTTCTGATTCCAAAGGCAATTACTATAGGTTGCCCTGATCTCTAACATGAATATTTACTGATAACATTATCAAACTGTATTGGAAAGTTTATTGTCATTGCTTATACTCTAGACATCATGTACATTGTGAAAATAATTTGTCCTGGGAGCTCTCAGAGTCACAGAGTGCTGGGAGCTCTCAGAGTCACAGAGTGCTTTGCAGTATCCATGTCCGCATATATGATTTTACAGTAATTATACCTAGCTAGTGTTCAGGAAGCTCAAGCATATCATATAGACCCAATAACTCTTATTAGAGCCTCAAAACAGTAATCAACAAAATAACTTTTACCCGTTGAATGAAACAAACACA